ATTAAAAAACTAGTTTTGGGTTTTTTTAAAGTGTTTTTGAAGGTTTTACAACGCTACAGGCTTCCCAAAAAGCCCCAGCGTACGGAAAAGAGAAGAAAAGTCCGTCTGACGGGCTGTGGAAGGGTTCCAAAATTCTGAAAACTAGTTTTTTATAGGTTTCTCGATGTGCTCTACAATCGAGACAGATCAGAAAAATTTTTTGGAGCAAAAAGTTTCTGGCTCTGGAAACCTGGTTTTCCAGAAATCCGGTACTCCCAAGATTTAGCGGCCCGTCTCATACCAATATTCGGATTCAGCACCATTTTTTACCTATACTCCACTAGACATTAAAAAAACGGTTGGTCAGTTACATATGTTCCTTCGTAAGTGAATAAAAGATGTATGAGCCTACGAGGACGAGTCGAGTAATATTAGATATTATGTAATTAGAAATTTAAATTGCCAGTTTCTAAATGATTTATCTTTTCGTATTTAACATAATTTTGACTCGATTGTTTTCACCTATGTATGATTTTATTTTATGCATGTTAACTATAAGATACTCGAATGGAGAATACTTTTCACAACATGCTGCATGAAATATGTCACTTCACACATAAACTGAGTTAAGAATCATAACTCTAGCTGAGAAAATGATTTTATTTTTTTTCGAAAAGTGCTTACAATAAAGACCTTGCCAGATGAAGTTCACTACTACACGAAGAAGACAAGAAAGAGAAAAAAATGTGATGACGGAATACGGCTCTTTTTTTTTCTTATAAAATTTTTGTTCGCCAATCATGAAAGAACGAAAAAAATGTTCTGTAAACAAAAACCTAATTTACCGCTTGCTTTCTGATGAAAGAAAATAGTCAAATCGAACATTTTTTGACTTACTCTTCTTTATATATTCACTGAACAAAAAGTTCGTAAAAGAAAAATTTGACAATTCCATTGTAAGCTTTTAATTATTTTCTGAAGGACATAGAGAATATAGTGAGCATATAACATAAAATTCGAACAGTTCGATTAAAAATATCACGAATATTCTCCACAATATGGAAGACAGTTCGAATTCATCAAATAATTTGACATCGAGAAAGTGTGGTATTTGTTCAAAAAATCCAGGTGTACTCGTATGTGTCGGATGTAATCTATTGTTTTGTCGGCAAGACTATAATGACCATCGTCAAAAGTTGTCGCGCGAATTAAAAACTATATTATCCGAACGTGACTTGTTAGAACAGAAGTTAATTGCAGCAGCAACTACAGCCGTTGCACCCGTATCTTCTTCCAAAATACTGGGCGATATCGAGCAGTGGGAGAACGACATGCATGCTAAAATACGAGCAGCTGCAGATTGTGCTCGAGAAAAAGTGGATTATTTAATCAACAAAGACAAAGACGAGCCTGTACGTCGTTTAAAAGCAATTTCGGATGACATTCATCCTCGCATTAGCGATGATGAATACGTTGAAAACGATTTGGTTCGATGGCGGAAAGAAATTCAACGAATACAAAATGCGATCACAGAACAAGTGCCAACTATTACCCTTGATACTAAGCAAAGTCTGTCGATTAACTGGAGTCGAATAATAAATGTGCAGCAAATGAAAAAACCAAATGACGCTCTACATAGTGCGACATCGATGGAAAAATTAACGAAAATAAGTAAAAAAACAGACGTACAAATAGCCACGTCGGTAGAACAATCAAAAAAAAACAGTAGCAGACCACAGACAGCCATATCAGAACACAAACTAGTTGTAAATATTGATAATATCAAAACAGAGCCCAAACTACGTGTGAACATTCGTGGAATGTACCTTGCTGCATCTGCCGACCATCTCATCTGTTTTTCTGAACAAAAACTACATTTAATAGACGCTAGCGGAAATGAAAAAATGACACATGTGTGGAATCATGGTGCGACTGATGCTTGTTGGTCAGAATTTTTGAAACAGTTTCTTTTCTTTGGGAGTAATGGAGCACAATTATATGCATTTGACGTCGAAACGCATAAAGTGCGTGCAGTACAGAAGTTTGCTAGAGCGCGCTCTCTTTGTTCATGTTCACGTGAAAAACTCATTATATCCGGTTACGATCATGACACAACCAGTAGTTGTATCGAGGAGTATGAATTGACCAATTGGAAGTATATTCAAGAATGGCATCCACCACACTCAGCAAGAAAAGGTGAAATTATTAGACAAATTCGCTTTAGTTCAACGGGTTCACAAACTGGTTTGATAATCGAAAGCAATCGCTCGCGTTTTGAGTTACGCGATCAGTTAATGAGAATTCTTCGATCTGTTACACTTGATGAAAATTCTTTTGACTTTGAACTATTAGCTTTTCCAAACAGACAATATTTGATTAGTTCAAGAGAACGGATTAAATCCACTAAACTAAGTGAATCGGACACATTAAACACTAAATTCTATTTTTTTGATACTGATGGTCGACTGAAAATAGTTCGATGGGAAAAAAATTCCTCTTCGACACACATAGCACTGATGAATCAAATATGTCTTGTCACTGGAGTTGAACATGAACTTCGGTTTTATGATTTATAACAAACCTGCACATCGTCTGATACGACGTCATTAGCCGAGAATAACCATAAATGAAAGTCATATTTTTTATTCGACTTGTGTCCCTATGCAGCACTGCTGTTTTGGAATATTTTGCGTTCATTCCTTTAAAAAAATGCGTCTCTATAATAGAAAAAAGTTACAACCGTTTTACTAACAGTCCCATAATCCGTACCATACACTGATGCCACCGCACCTCAAAAGCAATGTTCCCGTTAATATCTCGTAGCTCAACGATTTCTTGGTAACAAAACGCCCTGGAGAGCTCGAGATATCCTTAAAATGAAGTTAACACGCGTGCTAGAGGCTAATAGAGTCCGATTTTCGAATTTCAGTCTAGACTCCACTTTACCCGAAGTGGCTCATTGCGAAGGGTAGGACGGAAGGATCCTCTAAATTCGTCCACAATCGTGATCTCATGACGTTACGGGATAAGAGCCGAGCCTTCTAGGAGGCGCGGATCCATCAGGTTAGCCAGGCTTTGCCACCTTACCCCTTGGCCTAGTGAATTCATACCTCTGCGAGTTACCGTACTGAGTTAAAACAAACTAGATGAAGTAAAATGAGTACAGCATTTACTTTGCGATGAAAGTTGCTTGTGAGTTAGATGATAATACCCGTTTAACCTCATGACGGTAAATTGAACCGCCTTGGTTTAAGACGGATATTACCTACTAATTCATAACTGACTTATACTGTCTAAAACCAGTCGGACTTTTTTAAGTGCACGAATATTATAGGCTATCACAAAACGCCTCTAGTCCCATGCTTTTCTTCAAATTACATGTTCATGATGGTAGTTCGAGTGCAGCATACACTAGTCTGAATGGCGGCTTGTCCACATAAAAGTCCATTTACGTCCGTCACGTTTACTATAAATAGAGATAAGTTACTAAAACTCAGGTAAGAAGTAACTTTGGATCAGTCACTTACTTATTAAAATGTTTAGAAACAAGTTTATGCTGTTTAAGATGGAAGTTAAGTGCGAAGAAATCAACTCTTAAGACAGAGTCCACCAAAACGCCGACCACAGCCGGCACCTGATGGTTCCCCGATTGACCTCATATATATCTCGTTTGAAAGCCCTAACAAAATGGAGACTGACCATCTATTTAGATCTTTTTGAAAACGTTTTTATTAAAAGTTAGTACGGCATTTACTTTTGCTACTCTCAACGTTTTTAAAAAAATTCAGCATTCTAGTGCTACTCCGTATTTTTCGAATTTCTCAAAAACTATTCAATGAAATTTTTTGGTTCAGGCACTATTTGAAAGAGGAGAGTTAGGACAATCATCCATGCTAAGATGTTTATCCACTCTTCTTCTTTTGCTAGGAGAAAAGTGCTTTTCTTAACACTTTTTAATTTCGAAGTTTTCAGTTTTTTTCAGTTTTTTGTTCTTGAGTACCTTAGACAGTCAACTCCCCAAATTTTATTTCATCCTTTTGTACACTGAGCAATTCTCTATCAAATGAGGTGCAGAAAGCCTAAAAAAATTGGGCAACTTGAGTTATAGCTGATGCAACAAGGGTAGGTCCCATCTAAAACTGCATAAAATATCGGAAAAAAATATTTTTTTCCGTTTATCGTCATTTTTTACACAGGACCAAAGCTACAATCAGCAACTAAAACTGCATCGAACTGGAGATCTTCTCCCAGCTTTCTTTCCCCTACTCGTCTACGTCTATGTCCTAAGCGGAGATAATGTTGAAGTATTCTCAGAGACGACAGAGGATCGAAAGCCTACTAAGATCGACTTACGGCGTAAGTCGAACTAAATTGTATGTTTGCATATGAGAACAGGCAAACATGTTATGAAAATCGAGCGATGTTAAAGCATTTTTTATAGAATTAGACGGCACTTTGTTCCTTATCGTTCACAGTTTTCACAGTAGCTATGCGTGAGTCCCGTAGGCCGCATCAATTTGCAGTGTTAAAGTGCTTGCAAACATATTCAGATATGATAACACCCGGTATGTGTATTCATTTTAGAAACAGAAAGTAAATAGATACGACGACGTACTTACTAGATCAAAATATTCCGAAATACCATTTAGTCCAAGAGGGGTGAAAATTTCGTAGTTATCGCCTTTTTCGTTCTCTCACTGTTTCTTTTTTCTTTCTTCATTACTCTTCTGTTGTACGTATTCACTTCAAAAAACCTCATGAGATTTTTCAAAATTATCTTTCAGCCGTGCATTTTAGTGAGTCAGGGAACGAAAAGATAAGTCGTGGAATATATTTAACAATCGGCATTCTAAACGAGTCACAATGTAGCAATATTGGTCATCAAATACAGTAGTGGAAGAATTGAAAACATAAATTCTGTATGTCGAAAAGCCTGAAATTTTACAAACCAGCTACTCACTACTTCAGACAATAAACCTATAATTACTGAGATTTTCAAGCAGATTACTAGATAATCTGATGCTACATACGACAACAAGCAAACATGTTATCTTAACACATTTTTTATAGAACTAGACCAGACTTTGTTCCTACCGTTCACAGTTTTCAAAGTAACGTTAGAATGCAGATTCTTACATATATTCCAAATAAAATACCTCGCTATCAAATCATCCTACTTTTACTATAACGCAAAAACAAATACTTTAAGTTTCATATTTACAAAAGAAAACCGTCGCTGATGACTAGTCTGATGTCGGAAAATAATCAGAAATAGTTTCATACAAAGAACAATTAACAAATGCTAAACAACCAAACATATATATATTCTTAGTTGGTATAAACTTTATTTGAAAGCGAAAAAAAACTTAATACAAATCAAAATCGTTCAAAAATGTTTCTTCGAGCTTTGAAATTTCTCGAAAGTATTGACAAGAAAAAAAACGCTTCGTAAGTCGATCCTCTGTCGTCTCCGAGAATACTTCAACATTATCTCCGCTTAGGACATAGACGTAGACGAGTAGGGGAAAGAAAGCTGGGAGAAGATCTCCAGTTCGATGCAGTTTTAGTTGCTGATTGTAGCTTTGATCTTGTGTAAAAAATGACGATAAACGAGAAAAAACATTTTTTTCCGATATTTTATGCAGTTTTAGATGGGACCTACCCTTGTTGCATCAGCTATAACTCAAGTTGCCCAATTTTTTTCAGACTTTCTGCACCTCATTTGATAGATAATTGCTCAGTGTACAAAACGATGAAATAAAATTTGGGGAGTTGAATGTTTAAGGTATTCAAAAGAACAAAAAACTGAAAAAAAGTGAAAACTTCGAAATTAAAAAGTGTTAAGGGCCCCCCCCCTCAGAAATGGTGATTTTCGGTCAAAAAATCGGTTTTAAGACACACACATGGAAAGATAGCCTGAAGTGTCTACTTCCAGAATCTGTATCGCTTTTGGTTACAAAACTGGTTTTTCGGGGATTGTGAGCAAGTTTTCCAAGAGCCTCGAAAAAATGGGTCTTTGAATAATGTTTTTTTCCTGGATACTCATGCAATTAAAATTTTTTTGAAAACACAGCTTTGTAGAGCAAATGTTTCTGATCAAAATAAGACCTTGCACAACTCTGTATGACCTTTTATCAAAAAGTTACAGGCATTTTCCTAGAAGTCATAAAATCGAGTATTTCATACCGCGTTTAATAAAGTGAAATCACTGTAGAAGAGTTACACCTGAACGGCGTCCCAAGATTTTTAATAGGGGTTTGTCGTAGAGAGTTCATTCTTTTTTTGTTTAAAAGAGGAAAAGAAACTACATCGACTGACCGGCGTTGATTTTTGAATTAGGTCTTAGTTTTTTGTCTAACGGAGGATTTTTAGAAAATCCGGAAGGCTTTTTCGGGTTTTGGAGGTTGTTGGTTGCCTGGAAAATCAATAAAGGCTTAATTAAAAAATCGGCGCCGGTCAGTCGATGTAGTTAGGTGTCTAGTTTAAAATAAAACAAACCCGAACTCTCCAGTTTGAAGTATATTAAAAAATCTTGGGACGCCGTTCAGGGTCCTTTTTTGGACCTTGATCTCTGGAAAACTCCTAAACCGTAAGACTTGGAG